TTTCAAGCCATAAAAAGTTCAAATAATTCATGCAGTCATTTTCTGATACGTTTTGCATAAGCGGACTATTTCCAGAAAAAAAAGGTAGAGATTTAGCGGCAAGCAAACTAACTTTGATACCACTTCGTCCCTGCTGTTTCAAAAGAACATTCTCCGGTTTCAAATCGCAATGGATCAGTCGATTCCTTTGCAACAAATCCAAACACAACAGCATGGAGTAGGCAAATTTCCGTACCAACTTTAATGATAGTGATTTAAACAATAGCTCCAATAAGAGATAACAAGACCACTCACCATGAGACTAAACCCCTGGAATTTGTTCTTCTTGATAAGCTCATATAAGTTGATGTTAAGCAGCTCAAAAGTGATACACTTGTGATTTCGAAAGTTGAAGTAATCTAACATATGAATGATGTTGTGCGATCCATCAGTATCCTGACGGCGCAAGTGATCCTGTAAAGCAGAAATTTGAATGGTAGACTTAATTACTACAATCAGCTACTTACCAGGATTCTGATCTCTTCATCGGCTTGTCGATGAAAACGCTTTTCATTGCGCACCAATTTCAACGCCACATATTGTTGGTATTTGTGATCGTAAGCTTTTATGACCTAAAATTTTTGAAAAGAAAGTTTTTTCACCCATTGATATTATAATCTGTAATTGTACTAGACTACTTAGAAAGAACATTCAAATCACAATTCATTTTGCCAAACTTTATCTTCTCAGGATACATCGTCTAAGTTAGTGATAGTACTTCAATTAGCAAGCATATTATATGCACAACTAGTAACTTCTACCATGGAAAGCTGATTTCAAACTCCATGTATATCAGATTTTCTACTAATCACCCCTTTTTTCACATACGTCGTTTGAATGAAAAAAGCCATTCTCATTAGCCTTCAAAAGCTGTGGTAAGAAAAAAGAAAAATAAAGTAGAATCCATTCCTTATGGAACAGTAATTCTATGGTGTGTGATATTATAGCCTACTTCAGTTAGGAGAACGCTTTTTAGCGAAAAATAGCGTTCGTCAAAAAAGGAATCCA